TAGAAAAAGTCCTTTGTAAGTCCAGCAAGCTGGGAGCCTGGGCTCCCTCAGGAACACAGAGCTGACAGGTAACAGAAGCTTTAGAAAAATAACATTGAACTGGATACCTCTAGAGTAGTCCATTTCTTATTCAATACCGTTCTTGGCACCCACCATTTATTGGATTAGAGATCCCAGAGGAAACATGCCCAATCATTCTGTTCAATAGCCATTAATAGATCTATCCTCTATTCATTTATTCCATCCCTTTTTGAACGTGCCTAAGCTATCTTCTTCCACTACCATCTACAGCAACAAATTCCACAAATTAACAATGCATTGCATAAAACTTGTTTTCCCTTGTTAGTTTTAAATTTGGCTCCCTATTATTTCAGGGACACCCCCTAGTTCTAGTATTCCATGACTTGGTGAATTGTGTTCACATAACTGAGGGTCCCTCTCCCTCCCCCTCCCCCCCCCCCCCCCCCCCCCCACAGTGCATTACCTTGCATTTGCCAACATTTGAAGTTCATCTGCTTTTTTTGTTTGTTTGTTTTTGCTCACTTATTTAGCTTGGTGAGATTGTGCTGCAGTTCACTTCCATCAGCTTGGGACTTATCTGCCCAGAATAATTTTGTATCATCTGCAAATGTGGAGATTTCACTGAGTAGCCCCATTTCCAGGTCCTTGATGAAAATGTTAAATAAAATATGGTACCGGTACAGAACTTTTCACCTCCCTCCATTCTCAGATGTGATCATTTAGTCCTACCCTTTGCTTCCTATCTTTTAACCAGGTCTCCATCCACAAGAGAACACTCCCTCCAGTCCTGTGGCAATGGAGTTTAAGTCTTTCATGATGGGTCATGCTAAATGCTTTTTGAAAATCTAAATGTATTATATAAACTGGACCCCCCCCTTGTTCACATGCTTGTTAACAGCCTCAAAAAACTCCAGCACATTTTGGAGGCAGGCTTTCCTTTAAAAAAAACTTTCAGGGATGGAAGTGAGACTCACTGGTCTATAGTTTTCAGGATCTCCTTTGGAGCCCTTTTGAAGATGGACATTCATCATCCAGTCCTTTGGTACAGAGGCTGTTTGTAACTATAGGTTACACATTATTGCCAACAGTTCTGCAATTTCCCCTTTGAGTTCCTCCAGAACTATCAGGTGAATACCATCCAGGCCTGGTGACGT